GGTGGCTAGACGGAAGACCTTTCTTATGAAAAAACATCCAAGCCCACCTAAATTTTGCCAAAAACCATGTGGGAAAATGGTAGAACTTTTTGGGCATAATTATAAAAGATATGTTTCACACAAAAACAAGACGGCTTATCACCCAAAGAACACCATACACACTGTAAAGCATGGTAGCATCATGTTATGGGGCAGCTTCTCTTCAACTGGGACTGGGCCCTAGTCAAGATAAAGGCAATCATGGATAGCTCCATATTCCAATTTACTTTGGCATAAAACCTGCATAAAATTGCCAAATCAAAATGTGCCAAGTTGTAGACTCTTACCATAAAACTCTAACCTGCATTACAAGGAAACGGTGCTTCAACAAAGTATTAGTTAAGGAGTGTGCACATTTATGCAACCAAGTAATTGAAGTTTGTTTTCTATTTGTGCCGTTATAATAAAATAATCCATGCCTGGGTGGTGTAATATGGTCTGACACAAAGATCATTGTTAATCATTTATGTTACAATTGAAATTACTGTCAGAGCTGTTGTTACAGACAATTAATGCTTTCTGATTTGAGAATTCAACCTTGCTTTAATTAAAATGTAGTAAACAATACGAAAAAATGTAATTGTTTTTATTTCTGAAACGTAGAATATAAAACAGGAAGAAGTGAAAAATCTTGTTCTGGCCCCACAACAAATTAACAAAATGTTCTGCTTTTCGTCCCCTTTCATGTGTTTTCTTTTAGGGAATTTCTTTCGGACCTGATTCAGAACTATAAACAGGGCCGGTCAGAGAAACAAACCTGAGTGGTAATGAAAAGGAAGGCAGGAATATTATAGAATGTTGACAGCATCAGAAAGACAGAATGAGATGTGAATAAAGTGACTTTACTCATACTCACAGCATAGCACCAGCGGCCCAGCAGGTAATAAGACAGCGGATCCTGCGGCTTCAGCTCAATGGCTTTATCCAAATGATCCTGTTTGTTTGGGAGAGACAAAGAAAGCAAACGAGATACATTACATTATGTGAGCTGTTCATTCCTGCTCTGAAGGACCACAACAATTTCACCTCACAAAAATGCATGCAAGCAATCATGCAAGTATTGAACCACACACTCCGGCCTGTCACTTACTTTAGCTCACTGCATCATCTCCATCTAGTCCTACCTCTCCCTCGCTTACTCTGTCTCTGTGTCACTATGCTAATGAAACATACATATGGAAGTGTGTGTGGGGAACGCAGAGTTCACTTCCTGCTTTAGGCACATTTATGAATACTTTCACAGAATCCTGACAAAACACAGCAATACCTCATCTGCTGAAAGTCCACTACATAGATTAAATTGTTTCTCAATATAGTTCAAAAAGCTATTCAAAAATTGTGTTCATTACTTACCTTGAAAAGGTAGCCATACTTTATCTTATTCTGAATAGATTCATATTCTGACAGAAGTCCACATAGAATAGCATACCTAGAGACACAAAAGGAAAGACAGATGCTTAATATATCCGACACACACAAAATCACTTCTCATTACTAGTCTGATCAACAAGCAAGAAGGAAAGACATTTCTCATAATGCCCCTTGACAAGACCACTACTCCATGTGTACCATCTAGTGCAGGGCTTCTGTGCATGTGTGCATATACATGCTCAATGGCATGCTTAAAGAGCGTTTTGAGAGGGAGGTATGAGGTGATCAAAGCTTCTCCACCACAGCAATGTAAATCCTGCTGGTAGTCCCACTCAAACAGTACATCCTGAGCACAAACACCTTTTAAACACAGGATCAAGAAATGAAAACACTGTCAATCACAGAAATGGTGGTGGCAAGCATAGGGGACTCAATGTCTATAAATATATGTGTGTACGTGTGTACATGTGAGAGATAGTGTCAGCTTGCGTATTTGGTGGTGAAGGTGGTCCTGGTACAGGGGTCTGATTTCTGTTCATGACAAGCTAAGGCTTTTTTTTGTTGGCAGAAAGCTCTCACTTGGATCCAACATACCATTTCTAATCAGCCTGCTGCTCCCAAAAGAAAAAAAAAACATTAAAGAATAAATGGGCTTATCTATCAGTTTCAAGTTTTCATTCTTCAGCTTGAAGGAAAAGGTTGCAGTGTAGTTAAATCTCCTAATCAATAACTGCATTCAAGGAATGTAATTTTTTTTTTTTAAAGTGCTGAGTCCTTGGCTCAGCTCACTCTGGTGTTACTGTTTTAAACTAGTAATTATTACATTGGTGAAGAAAACCTGAAGAATGACTGATAGATTTGATTGATTTACTTCCAAATAAAGCATTCAGTAGTGTACGTTTTGGCATCTCCTTCTGGCGCAGCACTGGATGTGATGATGCCATGACAGAAATAATTTCTAAATGTAATAATTTACATTTAAAAGAAACTGAAGTTTCTACTTTTTTGTCAGCATAGAAGACAGTGTGGTAACACAGGACACTGGTTGAGAGAGCTTGGTTTTGTCAGTCTAGGCACTGAGATTTGTGTTCATTTGTACGTACATATAGTCTGGTTCAACCATTTACGAATCACAGCCCCCCAAACATCCCTACATTTTTACAGGTACAAAAGTAATTGGAAAAAGTAACATTATTAGAAATTGGATACAAATCATTTGTAGTCATTAACTGCCTGAGGTCTGGGACCCTTGGACATCACCATATACCGAGTTCCCTCCCTAGAGATACTTTTCCAGGCCTTTACTGCAGCTGCCTTCAGTTGCTGCTTGTTTGTAGGTCTTTCTGCCTTCAGTTTTGTTTTCACCAAGTAAAAAGCATGCTTATTTTGGTTGAAGTCACTCGACTGACTCAGTCATTTAAGAACTTTACATCTCTTTGCTTTATGAACTTATGAAACTCTTGGGTTGCTTTTGCGGTATGTTTTGGGTCATCATTCAGCTATACTGTGAAGCAAGCACCATCCTATAAGTTTTACAGCATTTGACTAAATCTAAGCAGCAAGTATAGTTCTATACACTTCAGAAGTCACCCTGCTACTTCTATCAGCGGTCACATCATAAATAATCACCAATGACCAATTTCTATTGGCAGCCATACTGGACATGCCCATTCCATAACACTACCTCCACCATGTTTGACAGATGATGTGGTATGCTTTGGAACATGAGCTCTTCCTTTCCTTCCCCATACTCTTCTCTTCCACCCATTCTGGTACAAGTTAATCTTGGTTAGGTAATCTGTTCAAAGAAGCTTGTTCCAGAACTGGGTAGGCAGAGTATTACTAGTGGTTTGCATCTTGAAGTAAACCTTCTGTATTTACAATCATGAAGGTGTCTCTTGATTGTAGACTAGACAATGATATGCCTACCTCTTCCAGAATGTTATTAACTTGGCTAGATTATGTGAAAGGGTTTTTCCTCACAAAGGAAAGAATTCTTTGATCATCCACTTCCATGGTTTTCCAGGATTTCCTGTTTTCCAGCATACTCCATATTTATAAGAATGTACCAAATTGTTGTTCTGACAACTCCTAAAGTTTCTGCAATCTCTCTGAAAGGTCTGTTTTGCTTGGAATTAACTACAGACCTTTCATCTCCTTAATCTGTCATGAAATCATGAAATAACAGGCCACACCTGGCCACAAATATGCTTATTAATACATTGTCCAATTATTTTTGAGCCTATGAAAATTGAGGGACTAGGGCAAAATGGCTGTAAGTCCTAAACAGTGAATTTTTGTTAAACTCATTGAATTAAAGCTCTAATTGAAGTCTACACTTCAATCACATCTTAATTGTTTCATTTCAAATCCACTGTGGTGGTGTACAGAGAAAATTCCAATCTGGCTTTCTGATTCTTACTGCTCATGAGTGGTTTGTATCTTGTGGTATGGCCTCTATATTTCTGCACTTGAAGTCTTCTTCAAATGTTGGCATGTGATACTTTCACTCCTGCCCTGTAAAGGTTATTGGTGGTCATTAACTGTTGTTTTTGGGTTTTTCTTCAAAGGTCACACAATGTTTGTCATCAACTGCTGTTGTTTTCCTTGGCTGACCTGTTCCATGTCTGGTTGCACAATACTTGTGATTGCTGTGATTAATTTTCCCTCTTTTCTCAGCTTGATTATGAGATTCTACCCATTTGAGAGATCTCCTAATAATAATATGGAGAAGCTGTGTGTCTGGGCAGGACATATAAAGAGTGCACAGACCAATAAATGTTGAGATTTTTTTGTTCCTATGGAAAAGCCATGTGCCCACAATCCCATTCATTCCTAGCGAGACATAGCTTCTGGGTGGCACCCAAAATGCCAATAATCTACAATAAAAACACATAATACTTGAATCAGCCATAGGCTTCAAAGGAGAATTTTGTGCACGTTGTGCTGTCCACAGAAAACAGTTTGCATTCACTGAAAGAACAGGGAGATATTGTAGTCTCTCTTATTAGTACAACCATGAAGTCAGAAATAAATAAAAAAATTAAATTATGAAGTATAAATCAGAATATTATTAAAACACGCATAAAACAAATTACATCTTCTCCTAGATTATTGCAAGGATGAATAATGTGTGTAGAGGCAACATGATTCATTGCTAATAAATTTGGAACAAGTCAGAGGGGAAGTTAATAGAAAAGACACATACTAGAAATGATTACTAATACAGTCTATCAAATAATGTACAGGTGGGAAAAAGAAATTCCATTGCTCAACAGTCCTAAGGGTAATTCTGTTTTTATAAATTTTCTCTTATTAGTCTGTGAAGTGCTTGTACAGGACCATAGTACATAGTTGTCATGTTCTGGCAATGCCTGTAGAGGTGTGTGCTGACCCAGAGGTGTCTGAGCCAGTTGCAAAACAACCTTGGACTGTCTAAAGGCACTGCAGGTTTGGCACATGTCTGTCCTAGGAATCTGGGGCTTCCCCTCTTAATAAGCATTGAAGGCAAACATCATTGTAACTCATACATTTCAGGTTTTTTTTTTTTTTTTTTTTTTTTACACTAATATAATCTTTGATGGTGGGGGGCACAGTGGCTTAGTGGTTAGAACATTTGCCTCACACCTACAGGGTTGGGGGGTCGATTCCCGCTGCAGGCCTGTGTGTGAGGAGTTTGAATGTTCTCCTTGTGCTTCGGGGGTTTCCTCTGTGTATGAATGGGTGTGTGAGTGTGTGTGTGTGTGAGAGATTGTGCCCTGTGATGGATTGGCAGGGTGTCTCCCGCCTTGTGCCCCATGGCATAGGCTCCATGTTCCCCGCAACCCAGTAAGGACAAGCAGTACAGAAAATGGATGTATAGATGGATAATCTTTGATCATGCAAGAAATGTTGTTTTTTAATAGCAAAAATTTACTAAGACAAACAACCATTTCAAAACTCTCCTGTGTTTGAAACATACTGTTACAAAGCACTGAGACCATAAATGTTAAAGAAATGTCTCCTTACAAAAACCTTCAAGATATCACAGATTATATTTTTTTCTTTGTTAACAGCATGTTTTTTTACAGCACCATACAAATTTCCATGAACAAATTTAACAAATGTTTTGACTAGTTTGATTTTTTTCAGAAAAAAAGCTGCTCTCCAGAGTTTAACACACAACACTTGAGTTTACACAGAATGTTTAATTTCAACTTCAATATGGTAGTAGATAGCTAAAATAACAATAATTTTGTCAAAGTCCAAATGTTTAAGTACACACAGTTTTTATATGCAGTTTAATATGCAGTTTTTCATCTTTAATTTGAGCGTACATTACAAGGTGTCCCTTTTAGGGGTCCAAAAGTAATCAGAGAGGGGGTTAAAGGGATTGGTGTTTTATAAACATGTTGGAGAGGTTTTAAAAGCTGGAGGTGTTTTGTCTCAAACCTTTGGCAGATACTTATGTAAAGTTTATTTTAAATTCTGAAGCATTCCCACCTTTCCAAGTAAGAGGAGACTGTGAAAGAAACTAATTCTGAGTTTCCGCTTGAGACTCTAACCCCTCTACATATACAAGTTACACACACAAACACACACATGCATGCGTGCACTCATGCTCACACAAACAATGAAAATGTGGACAGATTGACATGAATGGTGGCGCGTGTGAACCAGTGATAAAAAATAAATGAATGACACTGGAGTTTTTCCTGCCAACACGTTACGCAAGCCCATATCCTTCAAGCTACCAAGTAATAACAAAGTGTATTGAGAACCATCTGGTGAATGGAGAAAGGAGGATTCATTACACCGCTACTCCGAGAACAGAGAAAGCTCAGTTAGACCTGCAGGAATGGTTTCTAACACTAACTTTCCGTGAACACATTAACTGTACACAAGTATTACCCCATACTTTGCCTTAGGCTCAACATGTAGCAGCTCACACAGGTGACAAATATGTTGCACAAGGCCGGTGGTCACGTATACTGTAACACTAGGGTAAGTGTTCCAACACCATTTCCCTTTTATAGTGAGTCTTAGAAACCCCAGCAACATTTTCAAAGAATATTAAGGCACAATAAAGCATAATTAACAAAGCCCACCCAGCTGCTGGTAGCACAGACTCCTCTAAAGTTGGAAATGAACCATCAATACGGCAACAAAGCTTTAAAAAAAAAAAAGACAAATACTACATATTACAGTGGTGTGCTATTACTCTTGAGAATTCTGTTGAGGATTTCTTGTTAATCCTGGGCTAAAGAGCGAATGGAGGAGCCCAACACTGTGGGATTTAGATGGACTAAATACATTTACAGGGATAAGAGATAAATCTTTATTATATCTTGTAATACCAGGGTGTGAGCCATCATATTTCCTGACTGCCAACAGAGATTAAATAGAGACATGCAAACACACAAATCTCTCTCACACACACACACACACACACACACACACACAGAAGACAACATACTTGCATCTGAACAAGAACAATATCACAACAATATAATGGAAGTGGATTTCAGTAATACAAAACAAAATGCATGGTAGAAGACATCACTGCACTGACTGAACAATATCTCAGATTTCTTAACACACTGAACCTTAAAGCAGATAGGCTACCAGGCAGAAGACCACATCAAGTTCAATTCTTTCAGACAAAATTAGGAATGTCAGGCCAGAGTGGACGGAGACTCACAGAAACTGGATTGTTCAAGATGGGAAAAATGTTGCCTGGACTTTTCCCAATAGTTATTTATATTATATATATATATATATATATATATATATATATATATATATATATATATATATATATATATATATATATATATATATATATATATATATAAAAAGAGCACAGGTCTATTAATAGCTTTCAAATAAAAAAAGAAAACTGCTATACCTTTGGAATGAACTGTTTTCTAAAGGAGGTTTCTGGTAAACATGTACATAGAAATACAGTGCATCCGGAAAGTATTCACAGCGCTTCACTTTTCCCACATTTTGTTATGTTACAGCCTTATTCCAATATGGATTAAAGTCATTATTTTCCTCAAAATTCTACAAACAATACCCCACAATAACAACGTGAAAGATGTTTGTTTGAAATCTTTGCAAATTTATTAAAAACAAAAAAAGCACATGTACATAAGTATTCACAGCCTTTGCCATGACACTCAAAATTGAGCTCAGGTGCATCCTGTTTCCACTGATCATCCTTGAGTTGTTTCTACAACTTGACTGGTGTCCACCTGTGGGTAAATTCAGTTGATTGGACATGATTTGGAAAGGCACACACCTGTCTATATAAGGTCCCCCAGTTAACAATGCATGTCAGAGCACAAACCAAGCAACGAAGTCCAAGGAATTGTCTTTAGACCTCCCGTAGATCTGTGTCTCTTTACAATTCTGTCTCGAAGGTTACAGAAACATTTCTGCACCATTGAAGGTCCCAATGAGCACAGTGGCCTCCATCATCCGTAAATGGAAGAAGTTTGGAACCACCAGGACTCTTCCTAGAGCTGGCCGCCCGGCCAAACTGAGCGATCAGGGAGAAGGGCCTTAGTCAGGGAGGTGACCAAAAACCCGATGGTCACTCTGACAGAGCTCCAGCATGTCTCTGTGGAGAGAGGAGAGCCTTCCAGAAGAACAACCATCTCTGCAGAACTCCAACAATCAGGCCTGTATTGTTGAGTGGCCAGACAGAAGCCACTCCTCAGTAAAAGGCACATACATGACAGCTCGCTGGAGTTTGCTAAAAGGCACCTGAAGGACTCTCAGACCAAAGATTGAACTCTTTGGCCTGAATGGCAAGCATCATGTCTGGAGGAAACCAGGCACCACTCATCACCTGGCCAATACCATCCCTACAGTGGAGCATGGTGGTGGCAGCATCATGCTGTGGGGATGTTTTTTCTGCAGCAGGAACTGGGAGACTAGTGAGGATGGAGGGAAAGATGAATGCAGCAATGTACAGAGACATCCTTGATGAAAACCTTCCCCAGAGCGCTCTGGACCTCAGACTGGGGCGAAGGTTCATCTTCCAACAGGACAACGACGCTAAGCACACAACCAAGATAACAAAGGAGTGACTATAGAATGACTCTGTGAATGTCCTTGAGTAGCCCAGCCAGAGCCCAGACTTGAACCTGATTGAAAATATCTGGAGAGATCTGAAAATGGCTGTGCACCGATGCTCCCCACCGAACATGATGGATCTTGAGAGGTCCTGCAAAGAAGAATGGGAGAAACGGCCCAAAAATAATCATGCCAAGCTTGTAGCATCAAGCTTGTAGCATCAAGCAAGACTTGAGGCCGTAATTGGTGCCAAAGATGCTTCAACAAAGTATTGAGCAAAGGCTGTGAATGCTTATGTACATGTGCTTTTTTTGTTTTTTATTTTAAATAATTTTGTAAAGATTTCAAACAAACTTCTTTCATGTTGTCATTATGGGGTATTGTTTGTAGACTTTTGAGGAAAATAATGAATTGAATCCATATTGGAATAAGGCTGTAACATAACAAAATGTGGGAAAAGTGAAGCGCTCTGAATACTTTCCGGATGCACTGTACTATTAGAATGGCCCCAAATCATCACTAGACACAACATGAACACAAGAAAATCAGGAGAGCATGGAAACATAATGAAGTTGTTACATTTCTTCCTGCTGTATTAACAATAGGTTCTGTATTAACAATAAAAGGGGTCTTTATGAGGTTTACAGGTTCGAGAACAATGGAAGCTATTCCTGTTAAGGCAATTAGGTTTATATTGGTAACTCTTTCTAACAAATTCTTCTTTACGTCAAAGGTAAGTCAAGTTAGTATCTAATATTTTGGTTTGAGAACGCTAGTTAACTGCCTAATCGTGATGATCTGTATATCTAACTTGGAGATGAATAGTTCTATCCAGAAGAACTGGATGATAGTTTTAGGTCAGACACTGCAGCTGTCTCAGGCTGGAACTTCTTGGTATGTAAAATATTACTTGGGAAAGTTTGAAAATACGGTGGATGGGCAAAATAAATAATGCCTCATATTGTGCCTGAGCTCAAAAGGGCTTTTTGACATTTTCGATATTAGAATGGGTCCAACCCTTTTCTTCTTATTAAAACAGAGGCTTTTTGAGAGAAAGAAAAAAGTACTAAAGTTTGGGGTTACAACAATTTGCCATGTGCCGATCAAATCCACAGTGTTACATAGCAAATAGAAATGATTACCTAAACGAATTGTAAAGAATTAGGACCTTTTTTGAGCAAAGGTGTTAATAATAATTAAAACTTGTTAATCATTTTAAACAAGATTTCAAAGAACATGACAGATTCTTCTTAACCAATAATCAAGAAAACCTAATATAGGCACATCTAAATTAAATTTATGTCTAATGAAAGGGGAATCAAAGAAAGAAAGAAACAAACAAAAAAGAACAGCCATGTCAATATGCCTTGTCATAGATTCTATACAGTGCCATCCACTAATATTGGCACCTTGGTAAATATGAGCCGAGAAGGCTGTGGAAAATTTTCTTTATTGTTTAACCTTTTGATCTTTTGTTAAATAAACTCACAAAAATACTCTGCTGTCATGGATATCAAACAAATGCAAACACAACACAGGTTTATAAAAAAATATCTTGTGTTTGCAACAGTTATTGGCACTCTTTTAGTCAATACT